GAGTGTGCCTCTGTGCCCAGCCTCAAAAGACATTTTAACAGAAAAATAAAAGCTTGTTTGTGTACAAAATACACGTACACATGACAGCACCGTGATTAGTATGTCAAAGGGGGGTAGTTAACATTCAGGGCTTAGATGTCACCTTAATAGCTAATGGGAAGAAAGAGAAGACGTGACAGCAAATGACATTTTAAAAGGACAAATGGGTTTTAAGGTGAACAATAGGAGATAAAGTTCGTGATAATGTCTACCTGGTCTTTCCATCTCATTCAGGGCCACAGAACTCTTTGGGAGAAGGACTTTGGGGAGGTTTATTTGTGTTCTTTCTCCTAAAAGTAATTCAACCCTAAAGAGAAATTTATGGTAGCCTTGTTTTCCAGAAGCCGTTGCTGTTACTCAGATAAGTAATTGTCTAAGAAGGTTCCCGCCCCCCATTAAATCTCAAATGTCTTTGAATTAAAATAATCTTTGTATCAACTCTGGGGTTCTGAGTGGATCTCACCAATTGTAACCCATTAAATAAAAAAGGAATGCTAAGTCCATACAGATTTAAATGCATAAATTTCTGGGGAAGAAGAGAAAGCTCTGTTCAACAGTAGAAAGGACAGACATTGAAAAAATAATACAATTTTAAAATGATAGCACCATCACTATGATAATTAAAATTAGTAGGCTAAAGTTATAGGAGTAGAAGGAAATTTATGTGGTTACAAAGTAACCACCTATAAAATCTTTATTAAGTATAAAGAAAAAAATATTAACTGCAGTTGACCCTTGAATAACTTAGGAGTGGGGGTGCCAACCTCCCATACATGTGAAAATCTGTGTATAATTTTCAACTACAAATAGCCTACTGCTAACAGAAAGCCTTATTGATAACGTGAACAGTCAACACACCTTTGCATGATATATGTATTATGTGATATGTAATATATTACAATATAGTAAGCTAGAGAAAAGAAAATGTTATCAATATATCAACAACTACATTCCCACATGAAAGATCAAACACAAATATAATCTCACAAGGAGGAGGGGAGAGGAGTGAAGGGGAGGGAGGGCGGGCGATTGGGGGGATCTTACCTAATACGCACATTGTGAGGGGGTCCAGCACAACCCCTAGGTGAAGGATTAGACTATAACTTGAACTTTAGCTTAGACTTGAAATCAATGTAACCTAAACATTTGTACCCTCATATTAAGTTTAAATAAAAAAAAGAAAATCATAAGGAAGAGAAAATACATTTACAGTGCTGTACTGTATCAGTACTGTTAAGTTCACCTTGTTGGCTTCTGAGATGCTGTCTGTCTGAAACAGTGGGTGACCACAGCTGCAGGCCTTAGTCTATAGTGCAGGGCAAGCCATTCGACTGTTTCTTGTAACGTCATGACTTTGCTTTTGGGTAGGACTTCCAGCATCAGTAGTGGCACCGTGTACGGACTCCCTGGTGTTATTCAGGGTTTGTTGTTTTGCACTAAACACGCTGGGAAGTACATGAGAACCGTGAGAGACCACTCGTACTGTGATATGCAGTTTACTGGTGAGAGAAGCTGCTCACAGGGCGATGATGAGCGTCACGTGGCATGTTAGGTGGATATCCACACTCTGGAGCGCACTGCAATAGCAGCAGGAGGTGGCTATAAATGATCACAGTAGCACTGTCCGGACTATGTGAATTTTATGCAGTTACGGTTTGATGCTGCATCTTTACATGTATCTACGTCTCTCTCAACTGCCAATGGCGCCGGGTACAGTCTGTGTTTGTGTGCATAAGTTTTGGCAAATTTTTATAATAGATTTGTGTATATTTTTGGTCTGATAAAACAGACTGTACCTACATATATTTTATGCATTTAGGACACAATATTTAACATTGTTTTCAACATTTCTAGGTTACACAGTCTGTAAGTTTTTCAAATTGTCACAAATCTCCAAGACTTTTCCCATATGTATGTCAAGCAAAAGTCACATATAAGTGGACCCATGAAGTTCAAACCCGTATCGTTCAAAGGTCAGTTGTATAGTGGAGAAAGCAGGCGGACACGATTTTAACCAAAAGATGACATTTACAAAGTTTACATCCCGGATCAACATCACACTGCCATATTAGGAAGGGTACAATATTACATCTGTGGTACTGCTGCCTGAAACACAGCATCTGAATCTGTTTGCGGGAAAAATACAAGACAAAATAAAGATGAGAGACAGTTTACAGAAGAATTGGCCCATATACTTTTTCTATACTAATGTTGCTTTAGAAAAAAAAAAAAGAGAGACAAAGTCTCTTCTAAGCTAAAAGAAATGAAAGAGTCGTGTCAACTGAATCCAACCCATGACCTAGGATTTTCTTGAAAAATCTGAATCAGGTCTGCTGATTAAATCGTTTATTTAAGTGTTTTTCTCTTGACCTTGACAACGGTAACACACACATTGTT